ATTCTGGAAACTTGCTCAGCAGCAACAAGTGGGATAGGCAGAAGGGAAACACACCTGAGAGAACCGGGCAGAGTGCAGGGTAGACAGAAGTGCGTTCCCACACTAATCTCTCCATCCTGCCAGATCCCTGCGTGCGTAGACATGAGAGGAGCCAGGTGGCTTTAGGAGGTTTTCTCCCAGAACAGTGTCTGCAGTTTTCTTGGGGCAAAGATGCGAGGGAAAACATCTGTGACAATAAGAGAGTTCTTTGTAGGTACACACAGAACCCTTTGCTTCTTTTTTAAAAAAATGACATTTATGTTTCTTTTTCTGATTGTAATTGTAATAATGGCTCATAGAGAAAACTATACAAGTTGCATAAAAGCAGAAAGAAGAATATAAAGAATACCCATTCTATCTTTATCCAAGCAGTCACTATTAAATTTTTAGTGATTTTCTTTACAGGATTTTATATGCATATATATATTCAACATGGTTGAGAGACTACCATATATGTACAATTTCATATTCTGTTCTTAACAGCATAAGAATTGTCCTAGGTTATTAAAACTTTTTGTAAACATTTTTAGTAGTGGCTGCATGTTTTATCCTTCGATGAAATTATTGTAAATCCTAAATTTATTCATTTAGTTAAGAAATACTCACTAGGAAAATTTGCCCTGGCTGGTTTGGCTCAGCTGTTAGAGCATTGGCCCTTGGACCGGAGAGTCCTGGGTTCGGTTCCCACTAAGGGCACGTACTTTGGTTGTGGTTTGGCCCTGGCCCTGGTTGGTCATGCGGGTGGCAGCCACTCGATGTGTCCCTTTCATGTCGATGTCCCCCCCCCCCCCCCGCCTCTCCTTCACACTCTACCTGAACAACAACAAAAAAAAATGGAAAAATGTCCTCGGGCGAGGATTAAAAAGAAAAAAAAAAGAAGTATTCTCACTTTGTATTTTTAAACAACTATTAATTTCTTCTTGCATGAAAGAAGGATGTTAGTTCCTGTAAATGGGCATCAGTTCCTTCCTAAATAAAGGTATTTCAATTTGTACCTCTCCTAAGACTGAGGTGACCCAAAGAAGATGTATAATTGGCCAATAAGCATATGAACAGATTATCAGCATCATTAGTCATTAGAGAAATCAAATTAAAACCACAATGTTATACCATGTCCCCTCCACTAGGATGGATATAATAAAAAAGATGAATGTGCAAGTTGGTGAGGATGTGGAAAAACTGGAATCCTTGCTCGTTGCTTGTGGGCATGTAAAACTGGTGCAGCTACTTAGGAAAACAGCTTGCCAATTCCTCAGGATGTTAAACATGAAGTTACCATATAATGCAGCAATTCCAGTCCTAGGTATATATCAATGAGACATGAAAACATACACCCACACAAAATCTAACCTATCGCCAAAGAGAGAGAAGAATGCAAGAGTTCACAAACTATGCCACTTCATCAGCGGGGGAACAAAAGCAGCAATTAAAGACCAGGGATTATGCCCTGGCCAGTTTGACTCAGTGGTTGGAGCGTGGGCCCACGGACCAGAGTCCCGGGTTTGGTTCCTGCTAAGGGCACGTACCTCAGTTGCAGTTTGTCCCCAGCCCAGTTGGGGTTGTGTGGGTGGCAACCACTCAATGTGTCTCTCTCACATCGATGCTTCTCTCTCTCTTCCTCCCTCTCCCTCCTGCTCTATCTAAAGATAAATGCAAAACTGTCCTCAGGTGAGGAAAAAAAAAAAAAATTGGAATCCTCACTCATTGCTTGTGGGCATGTAAAACTGGTGCAGCTACTTAGGAAAACAGCTTGCCAATTCCTCAGAATGTTAAACATGGAGTTACCATATGATGCAGCAATTCCAGTCCTAGGTATATATCAATGAGAAATGAAAACATACACCCACACAAAATCTATTGCCAAAGAGGGAGAAGAATGCAAGAGTTCACAGTCTATGCCACTTCATCTGTGGGCTAACAAAAGCAGCAATTAATGACCAGGGACTATGCCCTGGCCAGTTTGACAGAGCGGTTGGAGTGTTGGCCTGTGGACCAGAGAGTTCCGGGTTTGGTTTCTGCTAAGGGCTTGTACTTTGGTTGCAGTCTGTCCTTGGCCCCAGTTGGGGTTGTGTGGGTAGCAACCAGTTGATCTGTCTCTCTCTCGCATTGATGTTATTCTCTCTTCCCTCTCTCTCCCTTCGACTCTATCTGAAGATAAATGCAAAAGAAAAAAATGTCCTCGGGTGAGAATAAAAAAAAAAAAAAAAAAAAGACCAGGGACTTCCCAGGTATCACCATTGATATTACAGAGTTGGTCCAGTATCAGACAAACAAGCCAGCATGGAATACTTTTTTTTTTTAATCCTCACCCAAGGATATGTTTTCTATTTATCTTCAGATAGAGTGGAAAGAAGGGGGGGGGGAGAGAGAGAGAGACAGAGAGCGACAGAGAGAAACAGAGAAAAACATTGATGTGATAGGGCCACATCAACTCGTTGCCTCCCGCAGGACCCCTACCAGGGCCAGGGACAAACCGCAACTGAGGTATGTGCCCTTGGCCAGAATGGAACCTGAGACTCTTTGGTCCAAGGGCCAATGCTCTAACCGCTGGGCCAAACTGGCCAGGGCTAGCATGGAATCATTTTGCTTCCAATTGATGAGGTCAATCTAAAAATTATTACAGACAGCGGTTAGAGCATCAGCCTGCAGTCCAGAGAGACCCGGGTTCGCTTCCCGCTGAGAGCACGTACCTAGGTTGCAGTTTGTCTCCTGCCCTGGTTGGTTGTGCGGGTGGCAGCCACTCGATGTGTCCCTTTCACATGGATGTTTCTTTCTCTCTTTCTCTCTCCCTCTCACTCTATCTGAACAAAAAATGGAAAAAATGTCATTGGGTTAAGATTTTTTAAAAAAATTATTACAGAATTTTTTCAAGAGCAAAATGTAAATAAGAAAGAAAGAAATGACCCAGCTGGTGTGGTTCAGTGGTTGAGCATCCACCCATAGACCAAGAGGTCACGGGTTTGATTCCCACTCAGGGCACATGCCCAGGTTGTGGGCTCAGTCCCCTGTGGGGGGTGTGCAAGAGGTAGCCAATTGATGTATCTCTCTTATCGATGTTTCTATCTCCCTTTCCCTTCCTCTCTCTCTCTAAAAATCAATAAAAATATATTTTTTAAAAAGAAAGAAATGAAGAAAGGAAAGAAGGATGGAAGGAAGAGGGAGTGAGGAAAGTGCTTTGATTTGATTTTATAATAGTAGAACTGGCTGGGTGGCTCTAGCCACATAATTTTTCCTGGATTCTAGGAGGTAAGTGTATGTTCTATGGCTATAATACAAATTTTTCCTTTTGTAAAACTTAATGACACCCTAGACTCATGGTATCTAAGCACTCCCAATTATTACATCTGCAAAATTAAAAATATGTCTTTAATGCATGCCATTAGGAGTGTGCAGAGCTCAGACAAAATGGTATAAAGCAATGTCAATACCATTTGTTATGTGTATTTAGTGTACTCTGAAATTCCTTTATTGAGGAGCACATCTCTGGCCACCCAAAGTACTCGGAGAGAATTAGACCTTAGAAGTGGCTGTGTTTATTTGTTGGGAGAACACATTTTGTAAATTTTAAGAAATGTTAAGAAGTTCCCAAAGCCTTCACTAGAAGATTAAGGAAACTGGTTCCAGGTCAGACAGCAAGTTAGTAGTAGAGCTAATATATGAACCTAGACTTACTGACTCCTTTCAGCCTATTATCACATTTGGAGGCCTCCTTATTGTTAGAGCTGGTAAAATATTACCTCATATTCACATATCTAGGGCCACACCAAGTTCTGCACGTACAGCCTCTCCTTTTGGCCCCTCAACAACACTGTGTGCTAGGAACAGTAAATGCAATTGTTCTCCCTTCCAGGATAAGAAGATTGCAACTCAAGAAGACACATAGTAGTCAAGGTTAGAACTCAGTTTTCCCAGTTCCCTCTGCATGGATTTTTCCACCATGCTATCCTGGTTGGTGCTTCCATCAATGAACTGTGGAAAACAAGTTTGAAACACTATAATTAAAAAGACAGCTCATTAAAAATAATTACATGTTTTGTAGGTAGAAAAATGAAACACTCAAATCTCTCTGCCTCCTCTCCTGCTAGGAATTTAACGTTAAACTGAGTTCTTTACTTTTGCACAAATCCACAGCAATTAAGACTTCACTGGTAGGGAGCTACTTTCCTAACAAACGTATCCTAATCAAATTCAAACAAAAATTTAAATACATGGCCCTGGCCGGTTTTGCTCAGCGGTTAGAGCGTCGGCCTGCGGTCCTGAGAGACCTGGGTTCGGTTCCCGGTGAGGGCCCGTACCTCGGTTGCAGTTTGTCGCCGGCCCCGGTCGGTCGGTCGTGCAGGTGGCAGCCACTCGATGTGTTCCTTTCACGTCGATGTTTTTTTCTCTCTCTCTCTGTTCCTCTCTCTCCCTCCCACTCTACCTGAACAAAAAAATGGGAAAGTGTCCTCGGGTGAGGATTAAAAAAAAAAAAATTAAATACATGAAATGGAAGGGAAGAAACTGTCTGTAGTCCCCCCTTACTTCTGGTTTACATTTGTCTCTATTTTCATGATTGAATTTCTCAAGCCAAGGGCAGATGGCCAAAAACCATTTGGAAAGGCAAATATTCCAAAGAACACCTAACAGTCTAGTGGGTGGAAAGCGCAGCACTCGGGGGAGCAGAATGACCTGAATTCCAGCCTGAGTCCACTCCCGTCTCTTTCCGGTGTTCCCCTAAACACCCATCGAAACTTTAGATGGTTTTGTTCACAGTAATATGAGGGCACTGGGTCAGTGCACAGATGAATTTAAACATGTGTTGTACCCACGCTTTGCATACTTAAATCCATAGATGTAAATTTAAAACATTAGATGTATATACTATTAAGTTTACTTGGTCAGAAGCTCGCGTTCTGTTCCTCTTCCTTAAAACCCCCGTGAGCCTCCTTCAAAGGACCCAGGCTGGGCTTCTCAGGGTGCATCCACTGGCTGAAAAAGGGCAGGCCGAAGCACTTGACTCTGCGTCTGCCCCAGTTCCTTACCATTCCTAATTCGAGGCGACCCCGCCACCTGTTCCCGGCAGCCAATGGGTGCGAGAGGGGCGGCCGGGGCGGGGCGAGGCTACAAAAGGAGGCGGGCGCGCACCCAGACACCCCGCTGCGGGCGCTCTCCGGCCGGGACTGCGGACGCGCGCGGACCTTTCGGCTCGTGGACCAGGCGGGCGAGGCGCGATGCTGCGGGTGCGGTGTCTGCGCGGCGGGAGCCGCGGCGCCGAGGCGGTGCACTACATCGGGTCTCAGGTACGTGAGCCGCCTGCCTCGTTCCCTCGCTTTTCCCCAGACAGCACTGCGCGACCTGGTCCCTTCTGGTCCCCCTTGGAAGTGCGGTTTCAAGAGCCTTTGTAGCTGCCGGGAGCTCAGCGATGTCCCCGGGAAAAGGGGGCAGTCATCGGGGCGACCCCCGTGGATACAGTGGGTCTCTGCGCGTCTCCAGCCGCGGTCGCGGCAGTGCAGGGGACGCCGCCCTCCTCAGCCATCTCTCTTGGGCTCCACAGAGCTTGCGGCCCGAAGTGAAGGGATGAGGGCGACAAGTAACGCCTCTTAGTAAAAGGATGTTATTGGGGTTCATTGTCTTCCGTGTGCATAGAGCTGGGCATGCGTGTGGGAGAAGAGGCGAAGTGGGGATTGAGACGGAGAGGGGGCGAGCAGGCCCACTCCAAGTCCTGAGTCGCGATGAGAAGTTGGAGCGAGTTCGGTCTGTACCCAAGAGTTTCTGCCGGGCCCGCGCCCTCCGCTTCCCCGGTGTGTGAGCGCGCGCCTGCAGACCTTCCCTAGCTCCTAAAACCGGAATATCGAGGCAGTTTGGCCACCCCGGCACCCCAGCAACTGGTTCTAGAACAGCTGTCACTCTCCTTGCTTTGGTCCCCACCCCTGCCTCCTTCCTAACTAAGGCTTTAACAGAGTAGAATAGAGATTTGGTGACTTGAGATTTGCCCTGTGGATGAGGGACTCTCCCTGCTCTTGATTTTTATAGGCCCTGCATTTTTAAAAGGCTTTTTTTGAAGTTCTTAGATCTCCTCTCTAGTTGTTTAAGTTTGTGCCTGGGTGAATCCTTATCTTGGCTAGGGGACGTGGACCATCTGTAAAATAGAGTAGATGGTATTTGATCATTCTTAGAATTGAAGTGCCAAAGAATGTGAAATGTGTGTCAGCAATGAAACAATTTTAGTTTGAAGCGGATTGTTTTGAAGGACCTTTGCATATTTTCACTTGAGGAAAAGATAGTCTAATATTGTAACTTTGATACTGAAGAGGAAAGGAGGCTCCCTCCCCCAGCTGTCTTGGCAGGGAGACCAAGCAGCTTTCTGCGATTTTCTGGGAAAAGGGTGACCCATCATCTGCAGAGGAGTTGCTTAGTTTGATTAAAGCTTGCTTGCAGAAAACCATTCTGAGATATCAATGGGGTCACTAGGGACAAAATCTTCTGAGGGGTTTTAAAAAGTTATGCCAATTAACATAACAGATAAGAAGATGATGTATAAATAAGTAGGAAGGTAAAACTCACCTGTAACCACACCCACGTGTAAACGATCTTGGTTTACACTTTCCAAAAGGATTTTAAATGTCTCTCTCTGTTATCCTGGGTTTTCATTCCACCTCTACTTCCCCTCCCCCCAAGTACTGTACAGGACTACACAATAATCTTTTCTTTGTTCTGGAAGCTTGGAAGAACCTTAACAGGATGGGTGCAGCGAACTTTCCAGAGCACCCAGGCAGCTACAGCTTCCTCCCGGAATTCCTGTGCAGCTGACGACAAGGCCACTGATCCTCTGCCCAAGGACTGCCCGGTCTCCTCTTACAACGAATGGGACCCCTTAGAGGAAGTGATAGTGGGCAGAGCAGAAAACGCCTGTGTTCCACCATTCACTGCGGAGGTGAAGGTAAAGCAAGGGTGTCCACATGTCTGAAGTGGGGTCACTCACCTGCTGTCTGGCTTCTGCTCCCACCCTTCTCTCTAACTGCTTTCACTTATTCCAGGGCCCCAAATCCAGGGTTGATTTTGAATCCTCTTAATGGGCATCTCTGCAGTATTTAACACTATTTACCCAAATACATCATTTACACAAATGATGACGCCCTCCTTTGGGTTCTGAGAGACTCCTTTCTGGGGATGTTAGTTCTTTAACTATTCCTCACATCTTCCTTCACTGTCTGTAGTGTTGGGGTTGAACAGCATTTCCCTTTTGGCCCTCTTCTCTGAGATGTCCTCACAGCTTCAGATCCTACCTCCACTCTGGTCCAAATTTCTCTCCTGAACTCTGTCCTGATCAACATGTTCAACTCCTTACTGGATGTTGCCACAGGACCTCAAACGTGGCAGATCTTGAATTCAACCGCCAGTCACTCTGCTAAACTGGACCCTTCATTTTTTTCCTTTCAGTTTTTGGCATTCCTATTTACTCAAGCGAAAACACCAAAGAATCATCTTTGATTTCTATTTCAGTCACATCGTCCAAGATCCAACAAGCCTTTTGTCAAAACAAATCTTGCCTCCATCCCTCTGCCTTAGGTCAGACTGTCATCCACTGCCTGGACTACTGCAGTTAACTCCTAACTGGTCTTTCTCATTTGCTCTTCTCTCCAAACCACCGTCCAGCTTCTATCAGAGTGGTTTTTTTTAAAAAAACAAAAAACAAAATTCAATCATGTTACTCATCCTGCTCTTACGCATCACTCCTGTATTTTCTACTTCTTTGCTTAGGATAAAGTCCTTATGGTATTCAAGATCCTTCACAATGTGGCTCTTGTCTGCCTTTCCAGGGTTCCCCGTTTCACTCACATGTCTTAGAGATATGTTAGTATGGCAGGTCAGCAGGTGTGCATTTCTGTTGGGTCTCTCTCATCTGTAATGTTCCACCCTGAGTTTCAGCAGCCTTTTAAAGATAACCATATAAGCTGCCAAACCAGACTACTCACTATCCCCCAAACAAGCCTCATGCCTTTGCTCCCACCTAGGTCTCTTCCACCCTTCTTCCAGCACCCCCTTGTCTGCAGTTTAAACCTACCCCCCTCTTACTATCTCCTAGCTCTGGTGGCATCTTCCTCAAAGCCTTACAGGATTTCCCTGTAACAAGTAATATCTCCCTTTTTAACAACTCCCAGTGTTCTTCGTCTGTAATATTCTATGGCCAGGGCCTCTGTAGTTTGGTGTTCAGGTTGTATACTGCATAAGAGTCCCATATCTGGGGGAGTGCCATCAACATTGTGGACACAGCCTAAACTTCATTAGTAGTGGGTTACAAATATATTTTTAATGTACGTAAATTCTTCCTGAATATTTATATTTGTATTTGTAATGTGGATTGAGAAAGTAAGTTATTTTATATCATTGTCATCATCATTAGAAATGTTGCCTACATTGTACCAGGGCTCCGGGGGTATGAGCAGAAAATAACTTAGTGTTTGAAGAGATACTGTGTTCACATAGAAACAAAGACTAATACTAAGTATCTTATGCCAACCAACTGGCAAAGCAGTTGAACTGAAGGGCCAGAAGAGCTAAGGAAAAGCAATGACCAGATGCTGAGTAGTTGGGAAGCCTTCAAGAAGAAAATGACTCTTGAGTTAGTCCTAAAGACAGAGTAATAGAAAAAGTAATAACTTCTTATTGTTCTGAAACTACCTTTGGTTCTGATAGTTGAAACTGTTTGTATTTATTTTTAGACAGAATGAAGGGGAGAACATGACACACACACACACACACACACACAGAGAGAGAGAGAGAAAGAGAGAGAGAGAGAGAGAACACAAAACATCGATTGACTGCCTCCTGCACTGACTGGGAATTGAACAGGCAACCTTTTGGTCCATGGGACAACACGCAACCAACTGAGCCACATCAGCCAGGGCTGATATTTGAAATTTGATGAACAGATTAATTTAAATGTCATCCACATGTTTTAAAAGGCATGATCTTTTTAAAGTCTTTTCTTGGAAAGATGTCCCATCCCCTAACCATTTTTATTAGGAAAAATTAAATTTCAGTTTCAGGCAATAGTTTATCCTTCTACTTGTCTTTAAAATTATTGACTTTTTGCCCTGGACAGTGATCTCAATGGTTAGAGAGTCAGCCTGTGCACTGACAGGTTGTAGGTTTGATTATAGGTCAAGGGCACATACCTGGGGGCGTGTTTGGGAGGCAAGTTATCGATGTCTCTCTCTCACATCTCTCTCTCTCTCTCTCACACACACATCTCTCTTTCTCTCTCTCTCTCTCTTTTCCCCTCTCCCTCACTTCCATTCTGTCTAAAATTCAATGGAAAAAATATCACTAGGTGAGGATTTTAGGTTCTGAAAGACTACATAGTTTCTAGGAATGTAGCCACATCTCTACAACATTATTAAAAACAGTGTTTTGCTTTGTCTTACAGACACTTGGTAAACATAAAATAAAATTATTGACATTTATACCATGTGATCTCAGAACTCTCAGCCATTATTTTGAGTTTTTTTGTCACTTGATTTATAACTTTGTAATTTCATGGGATTGTGGGACGTGAACCAAGCTGAAATCAGGAGTATGGGATTGAATTAGGTATTTGATAAAGCTTGATAACTAGTGTCAGTTAATCAGCTGTCTGACCTTGTGCAAAATTCCACAAATTTCGAAGCCTCTGTAAAATGAAGATATTAAGAAGTTTGTTATCTACCTAACACAATTAAATATGAAGGTAAAAGTTTACATGTGAAGTATTTTAATGGACAAAACTGTAACTCATTATAGTTGTATGGATCCAGTTTGCTAATTACATTACAAAAGTACATTGGGGATATAATGGTTGTAGATAGTAGTAGCATTAGCAGTATTGATTTCATTTATTTGTCTGGATATTTCTGCTTTATACCACATACTAAAAACTAAGTACTGAGGGAGAGGAAAGCAAATCTAAGGTATGCATGACCCCGGGGGGCAAGGCCTTACCTTCTAATTAGAGGGAAATGACACAGATACATTAATCAGTTTGAGAACAGTGAAAGATAAAACAATGTAGTAAACTGTTTATATGCAATTAGAGCATAAGATATGTGGAAAGCCCTTGCCAGTTTTGCTCAATGGTTAGAAAGTCGACCTGAAGACCAAAGGGTCACAGGGTTTGATTCCTGGTCAAGTGCATGTATCTGGGTTGCAGGTTCAATTCCCAGCCTTTGTCAGGGTCGAGGGAGCCAACCAATGGATATGTCTCTCTCACACTGATGTTTCTCTCTCTCTCCTCTCCATTCCTTCCACTCTATCTAGAAAATCAATGGAAAAATATTTTCGAGTGAGGATTAAAAAAAAAAAGATACGTGGGAAGATAGAAGATATAAATGCTAGAGAAACTTTATGGGAGTGTGAAACATAGTTGTCAGGAAGCACAATTTAAAAAATCTATATGGCTTTTTAATTCTGCAAAACATAATGAATACTTTCATCAACTATGTGCTTTTTGTTTTGCTTTTGTCTTTTTTCATAAAGCCCTTGATAAAGGACCTTTTATGAAATACAAAAATCGATCAAAGTTAATGTAATATGTTTGCGGCTGATTTCTATTAAGATTTCCTAGCCTTCCAAAGACTGTACTTGAAATCCATTTGGCAAGCCTACTGAAAGGTTTTAGGCTCTGAAAGGCTACAAAGTTTCTAGGAGTGCAGCCACATCTCTACAACATTGTTAAAAAACAGCGTGTTTGTGTTTTGTTTTTGTTTTTTTATCTTGCAGACAACTTGGTAAATTATTGTTAACTCATTTAGCAGGGTTATAAAGGAAGTGTAAATCGCTCCTAACTATCTCTTGGAAAATGAAATGTACCCTGATCATTTGGACTTTGTCCAACCTTAGCCAGAGTATGCATTATACAAGTCACACTTGTTCAAATAACTTTTTCTCCCGGGGATGTTTACTTTATATTTATCTAGGCAAGCTTTGCTCTGCACCAATAGTCACACAGAATAACTTTGGAATGTGCCCAGCAAGACAACATGGCTGTACACCTGCCATTACCCAGTGTCAAATTTTCAAAGGCTTCTTGTCCCTCAGTGGATTATAAGAGATGTGCCTGGCATGAGAAGGAGGAAGTGGTGAATGAATGTAGTACCAGGATGTGTCTGAGAAGAATATAAAGAGTCATTATTATCCTCCTTGTGGTTGCTGCTGCAGGACTTCCTAGGCTTAGAAAACAGTGGAGTGCTTTTGTTTTTTAAAAGAGTGGATTGATCTTAAAAAGTACATGGATACATGGAACAGACTGGCAGGTGTCAGAGGGGAGGGGGTAGAGTAACTGGATAAAGAAGATGAAAGGATTAGCTAAAAATGCATACCCTGTGGACATGGACAATAGTGTAGTGAAGGTCAAGGGAGGGGGAAGAAGGGTCCGGTGGATGTGGGTAAAGGGGGGGGGGATGAGGGGCATCTGCTGTAGTAACAATGTTAAAAATTTTTATTTTTATTTATTGATTTTTTTTTTCTTTCAGAGGGAGAGGGAGAGAGAGAGAAACATCAATGAGAGAGAACATCGATTGGTCACCTCCTGCATGCTCTCCACTGGGGATTTGGCCCACAACCTGGCATGTGCCCTGACTGGGAATTGAATCAGCGACCTCTTGGTGCATGGATTGACACTCAACCACTGAGCCATACCGGTTGGGGAACGTTAAACATTTTTAATAAAAAAAGTTCTCAAGCCCTAGATGATTTGGCTCAGCAGTTAGGGCATCAGCCCACAGACCAAAGAGTCTTGGGATCAATTCCGGTCAAGGGCACGTACCTTGGTTTCAGATTTGATCCCTGGCCCCAGCTGGGGTCGTGTGGGAGGCAACCAATCAATGTGTCTCTCTCACATAGATGTTTCTTTTCTCCTTCCTACTCTATCTAAAAAAAAAATCAATAGAAAAATATCTTTGGGTGAAGATTAAAAAAATAAAAGAAAAGAGAGTACTCAAATTTTTTTTTTTTTTTGTATCCTCACCCGAGGACATTTTTTTGATATTTTGTTCAGATAGAGTGGGAGGGAGAGAGAGAGAGAAACATCGACATGAAAGGGACACATCGAGTAGTTGCCACCCGCACAACCCAACCAGGGCCGGGGACACACTGCAACCAGGCACATGCCCTTAGCGGGAACCGAACCCGGGTCTCTCGGGACCACAGGCTGGCACTCTAACTGCTGAGCCAAACCAGCTAGGGCGAGAGTACTCAAATTTTTAATACTGAAAACATTTTTCATGGGCCAGATAGTGAGTCTGTTGTTTGCCTATAGATCTTAAAAAGTAAAGTAACTAAACAATAATTTAGACAGGTCAACAAACTTTTCAATATAGGACCAGGTAATAAATATTTTAGACTTTGCAGACCATAGGTCTGTGTTGCAACTACTCAACTCTCAACTCTGCCACTGTAGTGCAAAACAACCATAGACAATATGTAAAAGAATGTGCCTCTGTTCCCATAAAACTTTATTTACAAAAACAAGCAGAGGGCAGATTTAGCTCACAGACTTTAGTTTGCTTTACTGGAAAACTGACTTCAAAGTTTTACTGGCATTCTTTGTGTTTTTTCAGACCTTAATTCTTCTCCAGCAGGCTCTGCTCCAGCCTAACTGATGGAACCTAGATACTGAACTAACAAGAGGCGGGTCTGCTTCCCTACGTTTGCTATTTATTAGGCTGAAGTGAAAATGGAAGTAAAGATAGAAAATCTGGAAAAGACATTGTCTTTGCCGTTAAAGAGCAGACATTTAGACAAACTATATTTTATTACTCATTTTTCTCTTCTTGATAGCACCACTATTTGAAATTGTCTGATTTGTGATGGGAACCTTCTTATCTGACATGATCAAGACTGGTAGTTAGTCACTTAATCAGTGACATATGGAAATATTTTTTAAATACCTGCTTTAAATGTTGTTTTCTTAACTTAAAATATATCAATTGTTTTGCCAATCTTCTGATGAGGGTCCAAGGCTTTTTCTTATCACTTGGAGCTTCTGATTATGCTTCATCTGTCTTGGTAAATTACATCTACTACATTTCTCAATGTATTTTTTTAAATTGCCTGAGAACTTAGCCACATGCAAACAAATCTCAATAAGGAATCCTGTAGATATTTATACTTTTGAAAATTGATATTTTACAATTGTACCTACCCTAATTTAACATTAATTTTTAGCAAATTGAGCCTTTTTAAAAAACATTCACCTGTTTTCTATTCAGTTCTTTTAAAATGCATATAACCCTTGGTCACTTTCTAAATGTTAAGCTTCTTTTAGGTAATAAAAATTTGTGAATTTGTTCATCCCAGCACTTTCTTCTATGGCAGAAGAACCGGAAGCAATGAGAGCTTAGCTGGACTGGGGAGAGGAGAGGTGTGGGGGGTGAGACGTGTTGGCAGGGAAGGGTAGGAAGCACCGAAAGCAGACTTGCACTACTGCACAATTGTGCCAAATGGTAACTCTTTTGGATGGGAAAGTCACTAATGGATTTTTTAGAGAAACAAAGCATATATGTAAGTATGTCCCCAACCTTTATGGGGGCAGCGCTCTATTTCCTTACAAAATATCTTGAAGTGCTGTTTTCTAGACAGAATTTGGGATGCATGGATAGCCCATGGTTTTGTCTTACTAGAGGTGTCCTTTTATAGTCTTATGCTATTTTATTTGTTCTCTTGTTTGATCTCATTGAGACTGTCTAATGGGACCACTCATGTCCTGTTTTGTCTATGAAGCATATACAAATTGGCCCAAAAGGATTCCAAGCCCATATGAGGGCAGAGATGCTATGAATGATATCAGACAAAAGAAGCCAAAAATCTTAAAACATCAAGGGAATTTAGACTTCATTCAACAAATATTGAGTGTCTTCCCAGAGAGGCACTGTGCTCCATGCTAGGGCTCAGCACTGGACAAGACGTGGTATTAGTTTCAATTCTGTTAGCTCTGTCACCTATAAACATATCATGAGTCCTATTTTTCTTCTGTAAGAATTTCACTTAACTTTCTTCTGCTTCCAGGCCAACACCTATGAAAAGTACTGGCCATTTTACCAGAAGCATGGAGGCCATTATTTTCCCAAAGATCATTTGAAAAAGGCTGTCGCTGAAATTGAAGAAATGTGCAATATTTTAAAAATGGAAGGAGTGACAGTGAGGAGGCCTGACCTCATTGACTGGTCGTTTAAGTATAAAACTCCTGATTTTGAGTCTACGGGTAAGTGGTATCAGATCCCTCAACTGCTGATGTCTTAATTGTTCATTTCTTTCTTAATGTGTAAGGGCGAAACTCTGATAATTTCTCAGAGAGGCCTTTGTTTGAATAATTCTTTAAAACTTTAAAGATTATGTAGGAACAGTTTGGTTCTTTTTGACATGAGTAAGATGTACACATTTAAAACTTCATTGTAAATCTGGAATCTCCTTGAAAGAATCAGTTTTTCTAAACTTTATGGTAATTTTCTTAACATAAGAATAGTGGATTTTATTTCATTTTCCTCAAGAACAGAAGTTAAGAGAGGAACAGAAACATTCCCATATTATTTTTAACCAACACTGCTACAAGAGTGCTCTTGTGTCTGAGTTCAGTGTTCTAATTTACAGTTCTAGAAGTGATCCTTGACCCAACTTTTATCTTATGGTCCTGATATTCCCCAAAGAAATCTGTTTCGTGTAGCAAGAAAAAAGCTTACAAACAGTGATAACTTAGTGGCTTGATATCTCTTTGAACAAGAACCTTACTGCTTCATTTTTTTTTTCCTTTTCTCTCTCTCTTTTTTTTTTTTGGTTTGGCTTGACCATCCTCACACAGAATTCATGTTAACAATCTATTATATATAATTTCATATTTTTTACATTTGCATATAATTATATACATTCACACATACAGATCATCTGTAAATTTTTTTTTAACCAAAAAAATTGGGATTGTGTAATATATAGACTTCTCTGTCTTGGAAAGTAGCATTACTGTGGCTGTTGTGGAACTTTTTGGTCGGACAGGTTTATATGGTGCAATGCCTCGAGATATCCTGACAGTTGTGGGAAATGAGATTATCGAGGCTCCCATGGCATGGCGCGCTCGATTCTTTGAGTATCGTGCATACCGAACAATTATCAAAGACTACTTCCGCCGTGGCGCCAAGTGGACAACGGCTCCTAAGCCTACAATGGCTGATGAGCTTTATGACCAGGTAAGTCCCTAATTATAGGTGTGCTTATTAATAACTTTTCTAAATGATCCACAGAGAGTGAGATGGAGATTCTCTGATACCTTGTATTTGTTATGCATTTTATGATCTAAATAAGAGTAAAGGATATTGTGATAATAGTAGTAATGATGACTAATACTTATTCGGAGCTTCCTATGTGCCAGGTGTTGAGCTAAGTGCTTTATTTATATCCTCAGTCTTGTTTACACTTCATAACCACCCCATGAGGGATAGTATCATTCCGCTATAGGGAGCCCCAAAATTTGCCTGAAGGCCCACAGCTAGCACTGGTGAAAATGTAAAAGTCGGTAGACTCCATTCTCTTCTAGAAAAAGAATTTGGTCAAGGAATTTGGTCTACAGGCCAAATTCACAGTAAAAGGAAGCATATGTTTCTTATTAGATTGCTTACTATTTGATTATTTAAAAAAGAATCCAAAAAAATCAAAATTTCTTCTAGGGGTTCAGAGACAGAAATAAATAATAAATTCATTCCACCACACCCAATTAAATTTGGCAGGGGAAATGTGGCATCTCATTTTACAGTGAGAGTTAGGCTCAGGAACAAATTCTTTTTCCGAAAGAACAGAATGACTTTACCCTGTTGACTTTCAATATTGTAGGCAGCTACATAAATCAATGTATGGGTCATGGAATATTTTCAGAATCATTACTGTCTTTGTACCACTTGCTTCTAAGTATCAGGAAATTACTGTCATGCCATTTTTTGTTGGAAGTTTTTTTTTTTTTCTTGTCTTTTTTTGGGTTGGTTAGCATGGGCCTACATCTTGCATGTTTTCGTTTAGAATAGGGCTAGTAGTATTTTAGGAAATGATGATTAACTAATTTTCTTAGTAATGAATGTCCTATAAATAATTTCCTCATGAACCAATGCATTGTGTGTGTTCATTCCTGTTCCAATTAGGATTACCCCATTCACTCTGTAGAAGACAGACACAAACTGGCTGCTCAGGGAAAATTTGTGACGACAGAATTTGAGCCATGCTTTGATGCTGCTGACTTCATTCGAGCCGGAAGAGATATTTTTGTACAGAGAAGCCAGGTTTAAAAATGCTGCCTCTGAAATTTCACACTTTATTATTGCATTTTTTTGTTTGTTTCCAAATTCAAATATTTTCATCCTAACTATGTTTAGGATTCTAATCATAGAACCAAATCTTTATAGATGTATGTCTTCCATTTGTTTTCAGGTTACCAACTACATGGGCATTGAATGGATGCGCAGGCATCTTGCTCCAGACTACAGAGTGCATATCATCTCCTTTAAAGACCCCAATCCAATGCACATTGATGCTACTTTCAATATCATTGGACCTGGTCTTGTGCTTTCCAACCCGGACCGACCCTGTCAACAGGTAAGGCAGTTGTTAGGACGATGGAAAAGTAATAGAATCTGGCAATTGAAGTCACTGCCACTTTTATTTTAAGCACCTCTGTGATTCCTAGTGGTTCTAATTCCTAATGGCAAATTCAGCGATATTCAGCATTATTAAAATCAAATTGGATTGCTTATGTTATATTTACTACAAGATGCCTAACACTCAGATATAAACAGTACAGTGTCATGAGACTACTTGCTGCTATGAGAGCCTCAAGTTGGTGCCTAGATGCATGTTTTTATTGAACAGAGCGGGGTTACAGTAGTTGCCCTTCATCCTCAGGGAACACGTTCCAAGACCCCCTGTGGATGCCTAAAACCATGGATAATACTGAACTCCATATATAACTGTTTTTTCCTATACAAACATACCTATAATAGTTAAATGTATAGATTAGGTACAGTAAGAAATTAACAATAACTAATGACATAGAACAATTATAACAATATATTGTCAAATAAAGTTATGTGAATGTGATCTCTCTCTTTCTCAAAGTATCTGGAATTTTCCATTTAATCTTTTTGTAACATGGTTGACCACAGGTAACTGAAACCCTGGAAAGCGAAGCCATGGATAAGGGGGGCTAGTATACTTCATACCTTGCAGCTGAGGTTCCAGTTGCAGCTGCATTGCAAACAAGATGATCTCTGTATATCTGGGGCAAAGCCACTGCCACAGGCAGTGGGTGTCTTCTTCCCTCTCTAGTGGGTCAGGCCTCCTTTGGCCAGCCCCACCGCAGAGGGGGGAGCAGAGCCACTCACTGCAGCTGGTCTGTCCCCATCACCTGAGCCTCCTACTTCCATCTGCTGCCCCCTACTTCTAGTTGGGTGGTAAGTGATTTTGTTATTTGCTAGGCTGCAGTACATGTTTTTTTGTTTTAATATTTTTTTCTTTATTGATTTTAGGGAGAGAGAGAGAGAAACATTGATGAGAGAGAACATCAATTGGCCACCTCCTACATGCCCCCCACTGGGAATTTGGCCCACAACTTGGGCATGTGCCCTGACTGGGAATCGAACCATTGACCTCTTGGTACATGGGTCAATGCTCAACCACTGGGCCACACCAGCCAGGCTGTAGTACATGTTTTTAAAATCACTATTTTACCATGTCACTCTATAGTTATATCCCACAAATTTAGACCCAATGACCAAGATTAGTTATTTATTCCATCTTAATATAATTCATTGCTATACTAAGTGGGTAAGTGGACATAGGGATGATTGAGTTATAATAAATAGGTTACTAAGGACAATAAGGTTTCTTAGGGAGTACAACCTTAACATCTGTCTTTATGCCACGGTCATAGATACAAAGTGATGGGCTACGAAGTGCATGGACTATGGGTTTGACACAGTCACATTTTTGTTTTCTTATAACTAAAGAGGAAATGTTTTCATTCTCTTTAAAGAGAATTTCTCAAAAAAAAAAAAAAAAAGTGTCTTTAGTATTTTAAGATCTCTGAAACCTGAGAAAAGCACAAGAATGTTAAAGCTTTAACATTTCTGTTATTTTTTAACTTTAGTCTGGTAATATGGGGGTTTTATGTACATTTTTTTTGTGCAATTTTTTAAAATTTATTTTTGTTACAGATATTTCTTCTGCACCCCCCAACCCCCAGATACCCTCCTCCCCATCCTGCCTGGTTTTATGTACATTTTAAATTAGGATTCAGACAAAATCAAAATGTCTTGAAATTTTAATTTCTTTATATTGATAATTGAGAAGACAGCATCTCAAAAATAATTAGTAATTATAAGGGCTATCAGAGACCAAGAATGATAAGAATAGTATATATAGATTTAAGCCTGTTTGTTTATTTGTTTGGTCTTACAGATTGATCTCTTCAAGAAAGCAGGATGGACCATAGTTACTCCTCCAAAACCAGTCATCCCAGATGGTATGTTTACTTTTATACACTCACAGACTAAAATGATTATTTCAGTGACCAAGAATCTTTCACTAATAGACAGCAGCTCAAATTTTTAGCAATTTAGAGAAAACATTTCCCTAGTAAGGAGTGAACTGGTGCTTGGGACTGTGGATACTAGAATAAGGCTGGACTTGTGTTCACAACCTCTCCTCCCATAGAAATTGAGAGTGAGAAGCTGGGAAAAATCAGTATAAAATAATATTGCATAAAGCAACAAATTACTCTAAATAAAACAAAGTGAAATCTAAGTGTGTAATGAGAATAGACTGGTTCATAACATTTATACATTGTCTTAAGATAAAAATTTTACAGGGAAAGTGAACTCTGAAAATTGACCTGTCACTTTAATATTCTTTACTTTCAAATCCTTGCTTTAAACAAAAATGATAGCAGACATGATTTAACAGTTGTTGCTATTTTTAGATCACCCACTCTGGATGTCATCCAAATGGCTTTCCATGAATGTGTTAATGCTAGACGAAAAGCGTGTTATGGTGGATGCCAATGAAGTCCCAATTCAAAAGATGTTCGAAAAGCTGGGTATGTACAGTATATGAAGCATGTTGTCATGTATGAAGAACTGAAGAAATGACATACTAGGTTTGATGTATGCTTTATCTAATTCCTTCTCCGTTTCTTGTAGTGGTATCTAGTTATTATTTTGTAGATGGACGATCTTTTTGTTTTCAACAATCATAACCTCAAAAGGTTGGAGATGCATCCCAGGGTCCTTAGTCACTCCCTTGGCAATGAATATACGCATCTTCTATGACTTATCTAACCTCTTAGTGCCCTTGTGTGGGGAACTACCCCTTTGTAATGGAACATATACATTATTCAGCCCTTCCCCAAATAAGAAATTGTTGAGGGTCCTTTAAAGTAATTTAATTGTCATTACTTACTATAAATAACTTATAAGGGTACAGACACAGAAGTGACTTATACGTGTGATAAGCACAGTAAACAAAGTAATGAAATGCAATGAAGAATGTCAGTAAATCATTCAGCTTTGAACTAAAAAGCAGAACTGGTTTTTATTTGGGTGGAAGTTTACTTATCCTGATATTCAAAATTTAGACCAGATATTCTAATATTATGGAGAAAAGTGTTGAAAGAATTTTCATATAGCCGTTATATAGAGGACAGAAATATGTATGCTGATCACTCTTTACGTACATGACGCATCCTGGGTGTCAAAGTCAGGTAGTACACTTGTTATAAATGAAAGTCATGTTTGGATTTATTTCAAGTGTGCTACCCAGAAAAAATTATTTGACCCTTTAACACCTCCCTCCTTATTGTAGTATCAGTATAAAAGAATTGGCCTATCAGAGTTAGACTGAGCCCAATCTAATGATTTAACCCCTAATGCTATGCCGGTTTTTTTGTTTGTTTGTTTTTCTAGCTTTCATGAAGTAACCCAATTGCTTGGATTCTGTTTCTTTATCCATTAATACTTTATTTTTTTCTCCACTTAAAATATTATTGAGTACTCAAGATCTGATTTATTATTTTATTTGTAATAAAGTCATTTTAGACACAGGGAACTTGTTAAAGCAAACTTTTACAAGTAACTTAATTCTCTCCAATTCAGGATTAATATGGATATAGCAACCTGAATAAGATAGATACATCTGTCGATCAGGAAACATATAGTTGTCTTTGAAAGCCCACCCCTTGTCCCAAGCCACTCCTTATCTCTGTCCCACCTGCCCTCACTCTCAGAGCCCTGCCCAGTCTCACTGTCTCAGAAAGTCTTCCCGGGTGGCCCCTGCTGCCTCTCCTCCCTGACAATACCATGGAACCTTCAGCGACTCTGTCGCTCATTTTCCCTCTCAAATTAATGGGTTATTGAGGGAAGAGAACAAATTTTCTTTTAAAAACCTTAGTATGCCAACTACAACAGATTCTTCCTAAATACCACAGGTTGATAGGGTACATCATAGCCATGCCAATACAAACGGTGCCAGATTAAACTAATTAATTGTCTGAGTACCTTTGGTACCTGCATGACCATACAACCCAGATATTAAAATGTGAGCTCTGTTCCATTGTTTCCTCAAGGGGTCTGGTAAAGTTAATCATATCAACTAAACTTTGCTTGTATGTGAGTAAGTAAAGTCAACTTTTCAGGTTGGGTAAATTATTCTTTTCCTACTAAATTGACATGGTAAAATTAGAAAGAGTCTGACAAAACAGTTAGAACGTAATTCTAAAAGGCCTTGAAATTTTAGTGCTTGATCATTTTTGGACATTTGACAGATATGTCTGTTCATCCTACCTATTGATTTGTGAATAGTCAATAGCACAAAATAGACTTCAGAGTCTCTGCTGACTGGTTTATGTTTTATATTAGCAATAGAACAGATCTGATGAAATATAACTGGTGGAAATAAAATGGAAAGACTCTCCTGGGTTGGGTAGACTTAAGGATCAGATCCACAGGTAGGAACCTGTCTTTAGGCTTACTTTTTATAGGAGAATCTTCATGTGAGTCCATCTAACTGGCCACGTCTGTCTTGTTCAATGCAGGAATCAGTACCGTTAAAGTTAACATTCGTAACGCCAATTCCCTGGGAGGAGGCTTCCACTGCTGGACCTGTGATGTCCGGCGCCGAGGCACCCTGCAGTCCTACTTTGACTGACCACGCCTGCTGGGGCTTATGGCTTGGCCTCAAATAAACCTAGGAAGCATAGGGACAAGGTTCACTCTCCTGCTTTAAAAAATGCATGAACTGTAGTGCTTTAAACAATCATATCCTTCACAGGGGTCTTAAGCCTGGTTTATTTTTATTCCTTTTCTTTGTTATAAGGAAAATAACTTGTGCTAGGTCTTATTCTCTACTTCTAAATTTATTTGCTATATGGTTTCAAGCATAAAAATTTGGTGAATGTGTACCAAGACAGAAATTAATCCTTTAAGTAACTTGTCCACTAATATTTAATCATCTACCTCTGTTTTTAATTTTCTTTCCAACAGGCAGCTTGGACTGTTGGTCCTAATCTTCATTCTTTATTTCTTCTTCTTTTTTTTTTTTTTTTTACTTTTTGCTATACTTGTAAATGTTTGCATCACTTCTTTTTTTTTTCTGAATGAAAGATTTAGAACACTCACAAATCTTAACCAGATAATTATCTCTTTTTCTAATAATGAATTTTGGTAATTTAAAATTTTCTGTTTTAAAAAATAACCTAGACTATGCAAACATTTAAGTGAATTTTCCATGAATGTTTTTAATACTCTCATCTCAACAGTGTTGATATTTGCTACTAAAACCTTTTCATATAACTTACCTCATTTCAAGTGATTTATTTTAATCTCTTTTTTATCTATGTCTAAAATTTTACAGAAATATTTAGTGCAATAGGATTTAACTATCAGTTCCCATCTCTAAATCTTGATATTCAGTATCGAATGAATACATTGCATCTTTGGTAATCTAAGATTTGTTTACACATGAGCAAATTATGTAAAGTGCAGGCTTTAAAAGCATTAAAAAACTAATGGAGGTAAAACCTACGTGTGATGTGAAATAATTTTAATGTTGAATACTGTATGTGTATTTTTATTCTAATAAAGTTTTGTGTTACAGAATGAATTTTATTAGAGTTTGGCATCAGTCTAATTATTTTGAGTATAAGTAAATTATAGGATGTAGCTTCTGATGCTCTGAAATAATCAATATATTCATCCCTAGCAGATAAAAATTTAAACCTAATTATTGTATTCAGAAATGTTTAACACAGTCCACTTTTGTTGATTAGTTAACTTACTCATTCAAAAATATCTGACAGTCTTCTGAATGTAAGGGACTCATCCTAGGCCCCAGAAAAGAAAAAAGAGTCTCTGTTCAAGATGCTAAATGTTTTGACGCATGAGAAATCTGGGGGGCAGGGGATAGGTTTCGACCATGCCCTTGCCACCACCTTTAGCTCCTGTGTATCCTGGTGTCCTTTTTCCTCCACCACAGAAAAACACCTATCAGTCCTACACTTGGACTGAATCCTGCTTAAAATACCTATACAATCACATGCATTGGTGTACACTTGGGGTATACATTCCCAGGCCTGAATAATACTTGGTGATTCTATTACATACCCCTCCACATTCTCCTCAGTGTCTATTCCAAACCCTCACTATGTTCTCTTACCTGATCATATTATTTCATTTTTCACAGAGAAAATGGAGGCCATCATGTGTCAGTTCCCTCAGCTTTTCTGTTCCAATTCCATATAGATTTATTTGCATTTGTGTTCTCTGGTTTAAGTTCTTTCTCTCCTTGCCTTTACTAGCTAAGCTTCTAAAGAGAAAAGTCAGGCCTTCCTCTCATCATTTACCTCTACTTCTCAACCTTCTACAAAGAGACACTCTCTAATTGTGGCAAAAAAAGAGGCAAATGTACTAATCAGGTCTCATCCATACAACTGTCCTTTGAGTCTAATCTCTCTCTTCTTTCAGCTACATCAGTTATATTTTCTACAACTCCAGCCTCTCTCTCTCTCTCTCTCTCTCTCTCTCTGTGTATGTGTGTGTGTGTGTGTGTGTGTGTTTTCCCTCAACAAATAATCATGCTTAAAATAATGTTCAAACAAAAACTATTCCTCTGGCAACTTCATTTTCATTTAGAGCTAAGCTTCCAGAAAAAATACATCTACTATCTCCTCTATTTCACCTTTTATTTATTCCTCAATCTCCTACTATCTGATTTCTACCTTATCACTGCAAAGTACTGATGATGATATCTTTGACCTGACCTCTCAAGGGTCATTTCCAGTGGGTAATATTCAAGCCTTACTGATCATTCATTTGAATGTCTCTCCTCTTTTGGGTTTTTGTGATACCACTCTCTACCATTTCTTCTTTTTTTATCCTCATCTGAGGATACCCATTGACTTTCAGGGAGGGAGGGAGAGAGAAAGAGTGAGAGAGAGAGAGAGCAAGAGAAGACGAAAAACATCAATATGAGAGAGAAACATCTATCAGTTGCCTCCCGTACACACCCTGACAGGGGATCAAACCTGCAGCATAGGTATGTGCCATGACCAGGAATTGAACCCACAACCTTTTTGGTATATAGGACAATGCTCCAACCAACTGAGCCACCTGGCCAGGGCTTTTCTATCTCTTCTTATTGATATTCAAGTTCCTTCTCTGAATTTTCTTCTTCCTACACTTAAAAGGTAGATGTGCATAGGGCCCTGTCTTTGAGCATTTTGTCTTCTCTTAGATCCTCCTGGGTGGTCTCATCTGTGCATAGGTCTTCCCCTCCCACATATCCACCAATAACTCCCAGAGGTCATGTGGAAGAGGATGCCCTATGCCTAGATTTCTAGTCTTGACCTATTCTAAGCTCTAGGTCCTGTTCCCAGCTGTCTGTGGACATTATCTGGATGTGCAAAGGCATTGCAGGCTCAACACAATATCACAATTGACTCTTCACCAATCCATCCTGACTCTTCTCTCTTCCTCCTCTTGTCACTTCCATTGGCTGTTTGCATTGTTATTAAACAAAACCATGTTTTCAACAAAGAGAGTTCAATTGAATGATTGAATACAGTCTCTATTTTTAGATCTTATGACACTGCTCTTGGGTATGCTCTTTGTCGGTGTTGTGGAGGAAAACAGAAGCAGCCTAGTCTTCACCACAGCTGCTATCAGTTTTCTATCTGTCATCCACCACTCCAGCAACCCAGTGGCTTCTCTATGATCTGCAGCAGGCAGAAAGCCCACCACCTGCTGTCAGGTGTCCAGATAACATGCCAACAACTTCACACTATCACTCCTCCTTGGGAACTCCAAGCCTCTTTGTAACTCCCTGTCTACTGGAAACAGCTATGTATATTAAGATGAACCATTGTCATAAAAATTAATTTAATTTAAAATAAAAATATCTAGTTCTGGCTGGTGTGGCTCAGTTGGTTGGGTGTCAACCCATGCAATGAAAGGTTGCCAGTTCCATTCCTGGTCAGGGCACATGCCTGGGTCATGGGTTGGATCCCTAGTGGGGTGTGTGCAGGAGGCAGCCAATTGATATTTTGCTCTCACATTGATGTTTCTCTCTCTCTCCCTCTCCCTTACTCTCTCTCTCTGAAAATCAATTTAAAATCTTTAAAAATAATAATAATAAAAATAAATAAAGGTCATGGATCTGACCACTATAGTGTGTTACCTTGTAACTACACAGGAATACTACCCAATAGTTCAGCAGTTCTCAACCTGTGGGTCACGACCCTTTTGGGGGTCAAATGACCCTTTCACAGGGGTCGCCTAAGACCATGGGAAAACACATATTTCCGATGGTCTTAGGAACCGAGATACCGCTCCTCTATCCGTCTCCAGGCAGGTCCGCCCACATGCAGATATGCCCACATACAACATACAACATGAGGAACTGTATTAAAGGGTCACAGCATTAGGAAGGTTGAGAACCACTGCAATAGTTGGATTTTGGGGGGGTCAACTCTTTGGATGCATAGGTTCTTTTTGAGAAATTAGAATAATGTAAAAAACACTCAGATTCTCATCATTTAGTTCACTAACTAACAGTAACAGCTGAGTGAGGTTTGATTGATAAAGACTCATAGAGCCCCAAATAACAATGCTTACAAATGTACAGTTTTTCACAGGAAAAGAACACAATACAACGACCATGTTAAAGTAAGGATGTGCATCACAGCCAAAGGCTGCCTCGCAGCAAAGGCTCCTGGGTAGTCAAACCTAAGCTCCATTTCGTTATCCTCTCAGCTCATGTTAATCACCCACATTTTACAGTCTGTGCGAGGCCCTGGCTCTTTTTGCAGTTAGTCATCTCCAGCCAGTCATATGATTTATGGTCATAGTAAGGTCACTTTTAGCTTGACCCTCAGTTTCTGAGATAATCAATATAGTCTATTAGAACACTGTTCAGTCGTACTAAAGCTAGGTCCCACCTAACCAGACTGTGACATGGGAGAATTCAAATAATCTTTGAGGTGATGCAGTAAATGTGTATTACAGAACATACCACATGAATGCAGATTGTTGTTGCCTCTCCCCGATGACTGATACTGAGAAGAAAACATTTTCTACGGGGTGAACTGGTTCACTTCTCATTATCTGTCTCTGTAGGGAGTAGGTCTCTGCTTCTATATCTTGATATCTAGATCAAATATCACTCCTCTATCAGCTGCCTATCTTCCAAAGATTTGTGGGCAGCTCTTATTTACTGTTTTCTCTTTTCCCTTCACTTAGTCCTTGTAGGTTTTAACCTTGTTATTCTGCTACAACCATTTTAGGGAAGTTTCAAAAGAAAGTGAAGATAAACGTTTATGTTTCATCCACCACTTCAGTCTTTAGTTGTGTGGAAATCTTTTGACGGTTAATTCTAAATAGCACGGTAAGCTGGGAAATTGAGAGAGTGTCTCCCAAATCACTATGGGATTTTATAGGAAGTTGGGGAACCCACACTTTTGTCCCTTCAAACTCTCAGGATGTACAAATCCCAAAGCAGATGTAGAAATCCCAAGGCTGGGAGCAGAGCCAAGTGAGTGAAATACTCACCTTGGGCACAAAATTTAGGGGAACCAAAAAACCTCAGTAATCCAGATAAATAATACTTTAATGCAGTATTACCAATTAAAATTTAATTAATATTATTAATGAAAAATCCATGATGAACAAGATATCAAATTTTAAAATAAAGACAGGATCAGTAGTGCTGACATTTCTTTTGCCTTGGGCTGCAATGTGGCTATACACGACCCCCGTTGCACCCTAGGAAGCGAGGTGAAGTGAACTTAAACCAGCCCTTCCACTGTCTGCAGCCCAGATTCAAGTCATCTGGCTTGTCCAGAAAATTCTTTAGCCTGGAATTGGATTAAGATGATACCTGATTGCTGGCACTACTGGGTGTCTGAGAAAAGCAATCAAAATGTATTCTTTGAACAAAATAGCTGACAAACAAAATAGATCCAGAGACATGGAAGTAGACAACAGACTGACAAACCTCAGAGGGAAGGGTTTAGGGAGCGGGAAGAGGTAAATTAAAGAACTTACATGCATATATGCATAACCAATGGACACAGACGACAGTGGGGCCTGGGGGGGTGGTGTCAATTTGGAAAAAAGGAGGTGTATCTATAAGACTTTCAACAATAAAGATTTTTAAAACTTAGTCTTTGGAGAATAAATTTTATTCTTTGAAGAAAGATAACATCCATCTAGGCTTCAAATTATTTCTAAAAATAGAATTTTATCTACAAAATACCCCACAAAACCAAAGATTGACAGATGCAGGAGGAGAAAAGACCCCTTCAGTGAAATGATATTCAACAGAAACACTCCATAAGGACCCCAGATATCAGGTTATCAGACACCGGCTACAAAGTGCAATCCCACAGAGAAACCCGATACCCCCTTAGCAGTCACTCGTTCCTCTTTCAGGCCCTGGGCCTTCACTAGTCTGCTTTCTGTCTCTGTAGATTTGTCTACTCTGGACATTTCACAGAAATGGAATCATACAATATATGGGCTTCTTATACTCAGTAAAATGTTTTCAGGTTTTATTTATTTTGTAGCTCTTATCAGGACTTCATTTCTTTTTATGGCTGAACAAAATTC